TACTCATCGTAGGTGAATATGACGATGCCGATTCTGGAGACGACGCCCTTGAGGAGCTCTTCGCGCACGGCGGTTATGGCGTCGGTGATCCATTCGCAGACCATGGGGTGCCGCGATTGGTAGACGATGGCGTTGTGGAAACGGGAGCGAGCGAAGGAGGTGGTGGGGTAGATTTCGCGGTGGTAGAGGAGCGTGTGCGTGTAGGCGGTTAGGAAGGTGGTGAAGTGGTTGAGGGTTTCGAGGTAGGTTGCTGGCATCGTCGCGATAGGAGTGTGATTGTTCTATTCGTGGACGGAGTATGTATGTGCCTCAGGTACGAGATAGTGTTGTGCACTTTGAGTAGCGGATCGCAGTCATGACGCAGACGCGTCTCGTCGCGTGAAGGCCACTAGCGTGTCGATGGATAACGGTCACGGCTCTGGTAGGGCTGCTGATCGGTATGGCAGACGTGGTGCGTATGCTGTGTCGAGTGCCCCTGGCATTGTTGAGGATAACAACGTGGCAGCAAGGGGAGGGTCGGAGAGAGGCGAAGGTGTAGGTAATGGTCGCGTTTCCACCGACCGGGAACTGGGAAGAGGCATCGTCGTCACCGCCTGTCGGGCAATTGGCCACCTCGCCCTTCGCTATAGCCCAGCTGCCATACTCCACCGTACTTCTGTATTAGTCTCTAACCTCTACACCCATCTGCTACGTATATGCAGTCGTCGCGGCTTATTGCTTCAGTCATAGCCTCCGCTTAGCCACCCCACCACCCAGAGATTCACGGAGTTGCCCCGCATCTCCGAGCGCGTTCTTTTTCCTCGCGCTCAATCACCCAGCAGCACCCATCAACAAACGCGTCAACGCCCGATCCTTCTACCTCGCCAGCCGTTTTGGGGAGCGCTAGACGTGCCGACTAGCTCTATACGCGCATGCCCCACGTTGACCATGGAGGACCAACTAGTCCAGCTGCTATCAGCAACCCAAACCGCCCAGGAGGACACGCGCAAACACGCTGAGCAGCAGCTCCTCTCCCTCTACGGCCACCAGGAGCTCCCCCTCGGCCTCATTGGCATCGCCTGCCATGACAGCGTGCCGCTCAACATCCGCCAGGCCGCCGTCCTGTATCTGAAGAACATTGTGCTGGCGGGATGGAGTTCTAGCCTCGACGAGTGGAAGGGCCAGGCGCTCGTCTCAGAAGAGAACAAGGCTGTATTACGGCAGCAGCTGCTCAACCTCGCCACCCAGGACGGGCTCGACCGCAAGCTCAAGGCCGCCGCGGGCCTCGTCGTGAGCAAGATCGCAAGCGCCGACTACCCCATCGAATGGCCAGATCTCCTCGACAACCTCCTCGCACTGATACCTAACGCGACTGAGGGCCAGCTACATGGCGCTCTCAGGGTCCTCGGCGAGCTAGTGGAGGACTGCTTCAACGAGACGACCTTCTTCCAGGTCGCGCCTCAGATGATCAAGGTCCTGTTCAATGTGGCCACCAGCGAGCAAACAAAGCCGACGCTGAGGGCCTTGGCTGTGAAAGTCTTCCATGGCTGCTTCGACATCCTCGAGATGGTGCTGGAGGACCACAAGACTATGGTGAAGAGCTTCGCGGATGAGATACTCAAGGAGTGGATTCCCTTCTTCGTCAATGTCCTCAACAACAGGCTACCTGATCCGCCGTCAATCGACGAGGAGGACTCGGATGCGCCCAATGCCCTGCTCTACAAGGGACAGATTGCGCTCAAGCTACAGTCAGTCAAGGTAGGTCGTGTCAAGATCTGAACACCCTGGAGGCTACATCGACGCTGGGTCACCCACTTTGCATGTTTTCATTTTGATTTAGTCTCCAGGGTGTTCAGTTCTTTTCCATTTGAGGTGTTCCCAATACTAACAGCTCGCAGGTCCTCATGCGCATACGGTCCGTCTTCCCCGCTATCCTCTCGCCGCAAAGCATCGTCCTGTTCCAGGCGACCTGGCAGGAGCTATCTCTGCTGGAACCCGCATACTCTCTCATGTACATAAAGGAGGATCGTCAAAGCAGGCTAGAAGATGCCGACGGCCTGCCGTACACGCTAGACTTCCTGATCCTGGAGGAGCTGGACTTTATGCAGGCGTGTCTTCGTGCACCCCCGGTCCGCGCGCAACTCGAACAGGAACTCCAAAACCAGACACCCGACAACTCATGGGTCACCCAGGTTATGAAGCTGGCCGTGGCCTACGCGCAAATCACTACGGAAGAAGAGGGCCTTTGGGATGTGGATGTAAACATTTTCCTGAGCGAGGAGACAAGCGTAACCGCGAACTACACGCCCCGCACAGCCTGTGGTGACCTTGTCATCAAGCTTGGCGAGTGGCTGCAAGAGCCTACTGTCAACGGCTTGTTGACCTACACGAGAGCGCTCTACTCCGAGTCTGAGAGCTGGAAAGCTAAAGAAGCGGCGCTTTACGTGCTGAACCAACTGTTGAGCGATTTCCAGGACGTGGACAAGCAAATCAGCCCGGATGCTGCAAGCGGCTATGTGGACTTCATCCGGTATGCCATGCAGCAGCCCGACGCTTTCCTGAGAGCACGCGGTTACCTTGTCGCTGGAAGTTTGACAAGGACAGCTGGAGATGCTCTACAACAGCTCGGCACATCCTTCCTCGAGGCATCTTTACAGGCCATTCCATCTGACGAGTCCGACGTTGTCCAAGTGTCATGTATTCGCGCTCTGCAACACTATCTTCAAGCGCTTCCACCTGCGACCACACAGCCCATGCAAGCACCTATCATCATGGCCATCAGCAATTACCTGGCTGCACAAGACATGTCAGAGCTCAGCGACAGTGAAGATCTTATGGTCACTCTGGTCGAAACACTCCGAGACGCCATACTTATTGATACGCGGATATGCATCACAGACAATGGTCTCGACACACTCTTCCGAATTGCTAGTCATCAAGCTAACAACTTCCAACTCACCATGCTAGTCACCGAGGCCTTTGAAGAGGTGACGGAGACTATTGCGCGAATGGGCGGGGATGCATACGTTCAACTGTGCGCAAGGGTGCTGCCATCACTTATGGGCGCCTTTGATGTCGGAAGCTTGACCGAGGAGAATGCTTTGTGCAACTTTGCTGCTGATCTTCTGGCGGTCATGGCTGAGCATGGACCAGAGCCGCTCCCTGCTGGCTTTGTTGCTACAACTATGCCAAAGCTCACAAGAGTTCTGCTAGGCTCTGCCGATGAGGAGCTGCTGAAGTCTGCTACGACTGCCGTAAAGAACATCATCTCGCACGACCACCAACAGCTCTTCGAATGGCGGGATGACACCGGAAAAGCAGGACTGGAGGTAACTCTCATCATCGTCTCGCGTCTGTTGTCCTCATGCAGCGACCATGCTGCTGGCGAAGTCGGTGCGCTTGCCGCAGAGGTAGTAGAGAAGGCCGGCCACGAACGACTTGGACCTTACCTAGAGCAACTCCTACGAAGCGTCGCTGTCCGTCTAGGCCAAGCAACGCAAGCACAGTTTATCCAAAGTCTGACGCTCGTATTTGCGCGTCTAAGCTTGAACCATGCCTCAGAGGTGGTAGACTTCCTGGCTGGCCAGGACATCGAGGGCCAAAACGGCCTCCAGGTTGTGCTAGCCAAGTGGCTCGAAAACTCGATCAACTTCGCCGGCTACGACGAGATCCGACAAAAGTACGTACGAACCTCTCCGGAAATCGAGCAGTTCTCTTACGAACGGAGAAAGCCTGTTGGAAGGCTGGAGATCGTTCGGAATAAGTTGAACTCCCCCTTCCTCCTTTTATGTTTACTCGATGACTGTGCATAATTGCTGACTTTGGTTTGTAGTGTCATCGCTCTTTCGAAACTGTACGATTTGAAAGACCCTCGTCTTGCGCAGGTGCAAGTGCAGGGTGACTTGATACCGAATACCGATGGCCGCATCATGACCAGGAGTCGCGCCAAAGCTAGTAAGTCTTCTCTTTTCACGTCCAACTCCCTGTCTTTGCCACTGAACGCATTAATTGTCATGTTGTGGAGCAAATTTGTAGGCGTAGTGTCGTTGTCGCGAACCAGTGCGATAAACTCCTCTTACGCCCATCCACAAACTGACACACGAATTCAGATCCTGACAAGTATACCATAGTACCCGCACCCCTCAAAATCCTCAAAGTCCTCGTCGTCGAACTCCAATCCGCCTCTGGCGCACCCCTCGACGCACAAGCAGCTGCTGAGCTCGCCGAAGAAGAATCTGACGACGGTGAATGGGAGGACGAGGCGAACCCTTTCATGGACCTTGGCAGTGGCTTTAGCAAAGAGCAGCTCATGGCTTTTGCTGCGGAAGAGCCCGGCGGTGGCCGTCAGCGCGACGATGAGACGCAGGGTTTCCTGGTTGATTTCTTCAAGCGTGCGGCGACTACTCAGGGTTTTGCGGAGGAGTTTGGACAGCTTACTGAGGAGGAGCAGCAGAGGTTGAGGGATAGCGCTGCGTAGGGGGTGGGTTCATGTGGGAGTTGTCCGGAGGATGGATTAGTTTTCTCGTTACTGTGTGTGTGTGTTCGACATGAGATACCATACTGTCGGAGCTAATAGATAGCTGAGTTGGATGAAGGATCACGATCGATACATGATAGTATGAAAAGTCACGCTTAGTAGCGGCTGGCTATGCCTAAGTATAGCTAATGTCATTAACGTATACAAACAGGCAACGAAGTTCCGTACGCGCCGATTTGAGGTCGTTTGCAGCGTATACTCAGTGAGACCGGTGCGGCTAAGATATGTGACAAGGGCAGTGCGGCCACAAACACCCAGCATTTTGTTTACGTAGGAACAGTCCTGGACATAGCCAATGTACCTAGATATATCTCGTCACATGACTTACTCGCTTGTCGTTCAGAAGGATGGCAACCGACCAACTGCGGCGCATAGCCACCAATCGGTTCATCCTTTCGGCAAGGGCCAGCACTCGACCCTCTCTGACTGTAGTGGCCGTTGTACCACCACAATCGCTACGACTGCTATACCGAAATCGCCCAGTATGAGCGAAAAAGCTACGGTCGACGCTCCCGCTCCCGCTCCCGCTCCCGCTCCAGAGCAAGACCAACAACCCGACACACCACCATACTCCATCTTTACCCTCAGCGAAAAACGCCGGATAGTCTTCCTCGTCGCATATGCAGGCCTCTTTTCCCCTCTCAGCAGCTTCATCTACTATCCCGCACTGTTCAACATCGCCGAGGATCTAAACATCACACTCACCATGGCCAATCTGTCGATCACAACCTACATGCTTGTATCCGGAATAGCGCCTTCCCTGTTGGGTGATATGGCGGATACCATGGGCCGCCGACCGCTGTTTCTGTTTGCTATTCTTACGTATACGGTTGCTAATGTGGGGTTGGCGGTTCAGAGGAGTTATCCCGCGTTGCTTGTGCTGAGGATGGTGCAGAGTGCGGGGAGTAGTGGTGGGTTTATGGAATGTTTGAGTTGGATTAAGACTGACGTTTATGGGGTCTAGGTACTATCTCTTTTGGATACGCTGTTGTCAGTGACATTGCTACGCCTGCTGAGCGAGGTGGGTATATTGGAGCAGTTCTACTGGGGTATGCTACAACCACATTATGAACACGACGGTCTTCCTAACTACTATGACCTAGTCCGAACGTAGCGCCCAGCCTCGGTCCCGTTTTGGGTGGCATACTCGTCCAATACGCCGGATGGCCTTGGATCTTCTGGACCCTTGCAATACTATCCAGTGTTAACTTCTTCATACTCGCCATTACGCTCCCAGAAACCGCTCGCAAAATCGTCGGAAACGGGTCAATCATGCCTACACGCCTTTTGAACCGTTCCTACCTGGCGCAGATTAAGCTCAAGTCGAAAAAGTCGCCAAAAATAAGCGCTGAGAATGAGAAGACTGCTCAGCCAGTGCGAATGCCCAGTCTCAAGCCTTGTTTCAAAGCACTCTGGCAGAAAGAGAACGCACTGATCATGCTCATTAACGGCCTATTTTATATGACTTACTGCTGCGTTCAAGCATCGCTATCAACTCTCTTCATAACAATATACGGTTTCGAGGAACTGTACGCTGGCTTGATATATATTCCGTTCGGAGTTGGTTGCGCTTTGGCTTCATACACTTGCGGTAAGTAGCACATACCACGTACACTCAGACTAATAGATAACAGAAAGCAGGGTACGTCATGAACTGGGAATACCGTAGAGTCGCATCTAGTTCGGGCTTCTCAATTGATCGAACGCGCGGCGATGATCTTCTGGATTTTCCTATCGAGAAGGCTCGCTTGCGGGCTACATACTTTTACATGAGCGTTGCTGCGGTGACGACTATCGGGTACGGATGGGCATTGGATAAACGCACGGTAAGACTGTCATCAAACACGTCGCTCAATTCTGATAGTACTAAAACGTCACTAGCATTTTGCGGTGCCTCTGGTTCTGCAATTCTTCATCGGCGCCTCCATCACGGGTGTGTTCAACGTACGTATGTCATCAAGCGCATCAGAAGAGCCTTCTAATAATCCAGGCTTGCGGTACTCTACTTGTAGATGTCAATCCGGTGCGGCCTGCAACAGCTAGTGCGGCTGCCAATTTATTCCGTTGCGTTCTCGCAGCCGCGGCTCTGGCAGCTTTGGACGCCATTATCTCGAAGTTGGGAACTGGATGGACGTTTACTTTATTAACAGGCCTCACTTTATTGTCAGTACCTATGGCGTTTCTACTACAGCATTCTGGAAAGAATTGGAGACGGGAACGTCGAAGTCAACCATTGAGGTGTTGAAATTATGAAGTTAACATGACGTAAATATCGATTCGGCGCTGCTCTACACCGATAATGCAGTCCCAGATTGTTTGTTCCAGACACCAGTTGACCTGGCGAAGCTTTCTTCTCCTTGACATTTAGTTTCGGGTACTTCTTCTTGAACAGTGCTTGGTGAAGGCTCTTCCCCCGGTGCATATGGCGCATACTTATCGACAAGGTAGCACATATCCCTATACGCCCTACATCGCCGTCAGTACATCTCCTACTCAGCATTCCAAAGTCAAACTTACATCTCCCTCTCCTCACACCCCGGATGATGCGCCGAACGAACAACATTCATCTTAACACAATACAACCGATTGCGATCATCAAACTCTTCCACCGGTTCATCCACACCCATGACCCGAAGATACTCTTGCTTGTACTCTGCCTTCTTCGCGAACTCGTATCTTTCGTACCGCCACATACCAAGGTCCATTTCATGATGCGCGTAATACGCACCAGCGTCGAAAATGTAGATATTGCCGTTCGACACATCTGTAGCGACGTTGCCTTCCCATAGATCTCCATGAATGAGCGATGGCTTGATTTGGCGGCCGTTTTCTTCGAGCGCGCCGAGGAGACGGGGGATTACGTGGCTTAGGACGCGGGCGGAGATTGCTTCGTACTCTGGCCATGGGTCGTTATGTTTTTTCTCGATCGAGAGAGCGGCGCGGAGGAGCTTTGTGAAGAAATTGGGCCAGCTTGGATCCCAGGATATTTCCTGTGCGAAGCGGCCGTGGCAGGTTGGAATGGGGAAACCGAACATTCCTGTAGGGGATTGACTGCATTTATGCAATTGCGCGAGTTTGGCGCAGAAGAGGGCAGGTTCTGGCAGGGTATTCGTCATGTCGATGAAGTCGCATAGGAAGAAGTACGTCTCCGGCGCTTCGAGCTTGAACTTGCCCCAGGTATGTGGCTTGGGGACGAAGTTTGGTGTTATCTCGTAGAGTGAGGCCATGGAGTTGTACTCGCCTTCCATCATTACCCGACCGGCTTCATCGGTGGCGATCTTGAGGAAGTATTTCTTCTCGACGCTATCTGGGAGGAGGACGACTAAGCAGGCAGTGACGGTCCAGTCAGAGAAGCCATGGCGGTTGGATGAGAGGACTTTGCTTCCTTCGGGGAGAGCTATTGAAGATATCAGTAAAGACGGAATAATAGTTGGTAGTCTGCCTACCCCGAAGTACAGCCTCGTCGATAGGAAAGTCGCCTTTGTTATCGTCACTCCCGTCTCCTTCCTTCGCGATTGAATGTACGGCTTCTGACATATCGGCTTCAGACAAGGACGTGACAGCAAGTTTGAGCAGGCGAGAAACTCTCAAGAGTACACGATGTTAACACGTCGGGTTATTGTGTTACATATGATATCGCAGTGAACTGGTAGTGAATCCTCCTCACCCCAAGCACACGACACCTGATAACAAACTCAACTACGCCTCATACGCCGCGCAGCAACTGATTTATGACCACATTACGAGACCAGCTCTTCTGTATGCACAGATTGATACCCATTACCTGGTAAGATATGAGTGTCAGAACCGCAATGACTGTACTTCAATCATCAGTATTACTCGCCACACTGGCCATCAAGCACACTCTCTACAATTCAAAATACTCAGAAACTTCGAAGACCACCTTCAAAAGCACATCGCCAACCCTACGAATCCCTTATCCTGTCGTGTAACCACACCTCTCCCCCTTGCATCGCTATCGATCTCCATCCGGTTAGTTCAATACAATACACTCATCACATAAGCCGGGAATGCAGCCTCGTCCTTTACCCCGCTCGCATGTGACGACTGAAATAGAAACAAACAATCGGCGCGCTAGAAGGGTGTTCGCATGCGCAGTGCATGCAGTTCACGGCACAGGAATAGCAAAGATAGTACCTGATAAGGGACGATCTGTGACGCATAGTGTAAGCCTATACAATGGAGGGGTTGTTTGGTATGGACAAAGGACTATTTTGACAGTGCCTTGCGGCAGGGTTATGGGAATGGAATGGGTGTTGGAGGGGTAGTGGATGCATGGAGGGGTGGTGTTGCGGGCGCTTATGCGCAGTGAGGGATTGGTGACGCTGGCGAGGGCACGTGGGAGTTGGAAGGGATATCGCTGTCCTGGTCTGGCGGGAGGTTGCGCTTCGGATCGAGATTGTTTTGGTGTTGCTGTGTTGGCCGTGGGGGGTACTTCGCGGTGTACCCGCCAGGTTGACAGTCGTCCTTGGAACTCTCGTCTGCGACGTGAGGTTACATCATACCTGCTTGTCACATGCCCATAGACCGGCGGTTAGTGTTTCTCAGTGCAAGTGCCGCTGAAGAAATAATGCGCGTATGCACACGCCTATCCGAGTCTGCCTCCCAGCGCGCATTTCTCCGGCATTTCTCAAAAGAACCCCAATCACGCAGAGGGTACAGCGCTTAATCCTCCATTTCGCAGCCCGAAGCCACCCACCAGCAAACCAAAAGGCGCAGCTGACCACACCCACGATGCATATAGCCAGATCGCTCATTCGTCAATGTAACGAGAGCAGAACGCCAGAGGGGAGCGGTATAGACGTGGCATGTCTCTGGCTCAAACTTTTCGACCCCTCCACACCCCTCACCGTGAATGTACTGTACCACACAAGCGACTCATCGGCCAGCTCCGATCATGGTAGCCAGAAACTTGCCAACAGCCGCGATCTCGATGCTCGCACGGCATGAATGATCTCGCATTGACCGATGTATGACGATGGACGATCTTGTGACCACGCGTCCATCTACCCGCCATTACGATGCCCATGTTCCGCTCCGGCACCGTGACGCGGTAGGTGAAAAGAAAATCTTGGAAGTAGGCGAAACAGTGACATAGGCAAAGGCGGTTCACGCGGAGTGGCAGCGGGGTACAAAAGTGGATAAGCAGGAGGGGGAGAGGGACTGGACGGGTGGGTCTAGGCGGGGTTTAGTCTGGCATTCGTCATATGCCGCGGCTTGCCTGATGAACTCGCTTCGCTTGCTGCTTGGGTGCTTGGGTGCGAAGGGACGTGGAATAGGGGACCGGTTCATGCACGATGGCACCGGCCACGTGTTTTGAAACACCGTAGTCGCTCGCCGATGGGCATGGCCTGTGTGCGTATATGTCACGCTTCTGCATGAACTGCTGGTAGGTTTGACGATAGCGATAGTGTAGGCATCAGGTGTTCTGCGAGGCTGGCACATGCACCCCGGATTCGCGTTTTCGCGACCCATTGTATTGACGCGATTGGGATATTCAGGCAAAGTGCTCGCCCATGGTGATGTGATGGGCTTGCCTGTTTAGCGGAATGATGTCGTATAGTTGCGACGGAACGCGATCCGGCGCGACGGAGAAAGGTCCAGAAGCAGACATGTTTGCTGGGACGCAAAGGTCATCTGGAAAGCGATCGCATGTGCTACGCCGGAGTAGAACAATGCTATTCGTTCGTTGGAGCGATTCGCACAAACGATCCAAGTACCACACTCATTCAGCCGTGGAAAGCACTGAGCACAAAAGAAGAAAGATGCGATGCCGCACCCAATCAACATGGCGCACCCCAACAGCGCTCACTCAGCTCGTGACACCCACCAAAACCGAAAAGCTAAATGACGGTAACTTAGCAGAGACTGTCGTGGAAGCCGATAGCCCTGGTTCTAGCCAACAGATCCCGTGGAACCCTTCCTGCACCAACCTCGCGTCTTTTGTCATACACGGAGTACTAGCCACCCACCATCCTTCCCTTCCATCCGAGCCTCCCGACGACGGGCAGTGTCTCTGTGCCTGTCGATCCCAAAACGCAGAATGATGCCAATCCTGCAACTCTATCAAAACTGTTGCCTAATCACCCCATGTCAGGGTGTGCCCTTGCGCAACGTTGACTCGTGTTATAACCGGGGATCAAGGCAGAGTGTGCCTATCAAAGGAGTTCCCGTGCCCAGGGATAACGCGACGCCTCTTAATCTTGAAATGGGAAGGGACGCGTGCGCTAAGCTTCGGGATGGGGTGGCATGGAACTTTATGAGGAAGGCGAGGCAGGGAAGGAGGCTGATAACGTTGAGCCGCATATGTGGCCGCTATTAAGGGGTGGTTTACTTTGTTGTGATGGCCGCGAGAGACCCTGGATGGAGGGACGGTAGGTAGATTCGCTGTAATGTCATCGTTGCATGCGATGCGCGCGAGCTGTAGGTACTGTGCGACGGCCATCCCAAAGCCCTGGGCCTTACCACCCACAACGCATTCGTAAATAGCACTCTGTGCACTCATGTCTAACCCAACCATTCCTCCACGCAAACGTGAGCAATGCCCTATTTCTTTTCCCGGCACGGATCGATATCAA